CTTTTTACTTGTTAGGAACAAGTGGCAACTTTTTTTTTTTTTGAGACAGAGTCTCACTCTGTCACCCAGGCTGGAGTGCAGTGGCCTGATCTCGGCTCACTGCAAACTCCGCCTCCCAGGTTCAAGCAATTCTCTGCCTCAGCCTTCCGAATAGCTGGGATTACAGGTGCCTGCCAACATGCCCAGCTAATTATTTTTTTATTTTTTATTTTTAGTAGAGACAGGGTTTCACCATCTTGGCCAGGCTGGTCTTGAATTCCCGACCTCATGATCCACCTGCCTAGGCCTCCCAAAGTGCTAGGATTACAGGCGTGAGCCACCATACCCAGCCTATAAGTGGCAACTTCTAAGCTACCTACCTGCTGGACTGAAAGCTAAAAGCCCTGCTGCTTATAATGAGAAGCCAGACACTAATCATATAACTGTTGTTCCCTTGCATGTGATGAGTAATTTTTCTTCTGCTGTTTTTGAGCTTATGCCTTTGGCTTTCAACAGTTTGACTAGGATGTATCTAGATGTGGTGGATCTCTTTGTGACTGTCCTACTTGGAGCTCACAAAGTTTCTTGGATATGTATATTAATGTTTGTGGTAGCCTAAATAATACCTTTCAAAGATGTCCACATTCTAATCCTAATCTCTAGAATCAGTGGGCATGTTACTTCACTTATATGGTAAAAAAAAACTTTGCAGCTGTGATTAAATTAAGAATCTTGAGATAGGGAGATTATTCTAGACCCTCCAGAAGAAATCAAGCACTGCTGATGGCTTAATTTTAGGACTTCCAACTTTTAGAACTGTAAGATAATAAATATGTGGTTTATTAAGCCACTAAATTTGTGGTAATTTTATTATAGCTCTCGGCAAGTATGTCACAGACTCCTGCTGCTCTTACTCAAAGTTCCATGTTTTTTCATGAATAAATGCTTCTTTTTTAAAAAACGGAGTTTTGCTCTTTTGCCCAGGCTGGAGTGCAATGGTGAGATCTTGGCTCACTGCAACCTCTGCCTCTTGGGTTCAAGAGATTCTCCTGCCCCATCCTCTTAAGTAGCTGGGATTACAGGCATGCACCACCAAGCCCGGATAATTTTTGTATTTGTAGTAGAAACGGGGTTTCACCATGTTGGCCAGGCTGGTCTCGAACTCCTGACCTCAGATGATCCACCCACCTCAGCCTCCCAAAGTGCTGGGATTATAGGCATAAGCCACCATGCCTGGCCAAAGAAATGCCTCTTGATTTACTGCATGTCTTAGGTCAATTTCCACACCCATGAAATGGCTGTTTTTGACAATTTTGTCCTGTTTCATACTTTTTTTTTTTTTTTAAGACGGAGTCTCGCTCTGTCGGCCGGGCTGGAGTGCAGTGGCATGACTCAGCTCACTGCAAGCTCTGCCTGCCAGGTTTACGCCATTCTCCTGCCTCAGCCTCCTGAGTAGCTGGGACTACAGGCGCCCGCCACCTCGCCCAGCTAGTTTTTTGTATTTTTTAGTAGAGACGGGGTTTGACCGTGTTAGCCAGGATGGTCTCGATCTCCTGACCTCGTGATCCGCCTGTCTCGGCCTCCCAAAGTGCTGGGATTACAGGCTTGAGCCACCGGGCCCGGCCCATACTTTTTTAATAGGTTGGTTTTCTAGGAGATTTCCCAGCCTCCTTGTCTGCCATACCAGATACCTTGCCCTCTTGCCAAGGACCTTTTATCCATTCAGACACTCTATGCCTTAATTTTTTTTTTTTTTTTTAAATAGAGATGGAGTCTTGTTATGTTGCCCAGGCTGGTCTTGAACTCCTGGACTCACGTGATCCAGTGATCCTCCTACCTTAGCCTCCCGAAGTGTTGGAATTACAAGTATGAGCCACCATGCTTGGCTAAAGAAAATTCTATGGTATTTAACTGGAGAACTGAATCCATTAACATTCAGTGTTATTATTGATAAGAACTTAATACTGCCATTTTGTTCCTTATTTTCTGGTTGTTTTGTAACTCCTCTCTTCCTTTCTTCTGTTCTTCCTTTGTGGTTAAGTGATTTTCTCTGGTAGAATGTTTTGTTGCTTTGTATTTTTAGTAAACCTATTGTAAGTGTTTTGTATTGTGGTTCCCAAGAACCTTACAAAAAAAATCTCACAGATGTAACAAGTCATTTTAAAGAGATGACAACTTATCTTAAATAACAAAGAAACAAATAGAAATAAAGAAAAATATGTTTTAAAAAAACGCTTCTACACTTTATCCTCATCCCCCCCATTGACTTTTAGTTGTCTCAATTTACATAATTTTATATTATCTACCTCTTAACAGGTTGCTATACCTATTATTGTTTTGATAGATTTGTCTTTTCTAGCTCCACACTAGAGTTATGAGTGAATTGCACACCACAATTACAGTATCAGAGTATTCTGGGTTTGTCCATGTACTTACCTTGATCAGTGGGTTTTATACCTTCAATGGTTTCCTATTTGCACATCGAGTGTTTTCTTTCTGTTTGAAGAACTCCCTTTAGCATTTCTTGTAAGGTGGGTTTAGTGGTGGTAAATTCTCTCAACTTTGGTTGTCTGGGAAATACTGTATCTCTCTTTCATATTTGAAGGACAATTTTGCTGGATACAGTATTTTTGAATGGCAGTTATTTTTTTCTTTCAGCACTTTGAAAATGTTGTTCCACACCTCCCTGGCCTGTATGGCTTCCTGTATGCTTTTTTGCATCGTGGTTCCCATGAGGCTTCTTCATCAAGAAGTCTGTTGCCAGACAAATTGGAGCTCCTTTATGTTATTTGCTTCTTTTTTCCTGCTGCTCTTAGGATTCTCTCTTTGTTGACCTTTAAGAGTCTGATTATTATATGCCTTGGGGTCTTATTTGGGTCAAATTTGATGTTCTCTGATTTTCCTGCTCCCGAATATTTGTATCTTTCTTAAGTTGTGTAAAGTTTTCTGTTGTTATTTCTCAGACTAAGGTTTCTACCCTTTGCTCTTGCTCAACTCTCTCCTGAACACCAATAATTCTTAGTCTGGGCCTTTTCAGGTAGTTTTCTATATCTTATGGGCAATCTTCATGGCTTTTTGTTATTTTTTTTTCACTTTTGTGTATTTTCTGGTTTTGTTTGTTGGTTTGTTTTTTATAGTGTTGCTCTGTCGCCTAGGCTGGAGTGCAGTGGCATGATCCTGGCTCACTGCAACTTCCACTTCCTGGGTTCAAGCGATTCTCCTGCCTCAGCCTCCTAAGTAGCTGGGATTTCAGGTGCACGCCATCACACTCGGCTAATTTTTTATACTTTTTGGTAGAGACAGGATTTCACCACATTGGCCAGGCTGGTCTCCAACTCCTGTACCTCAAGTGATCTACCCTTGGCCTCCCAAAGTTCTGGGATTACAGGCATGAGTCACCGTGCCCAGCCGTGTATTTTCAAATCGTCTTTCAGCTCACTGATTCTTTCCTCTGCTTGATCCATTCTGCTGCTGAAAGCCATTAATGAATTTTTCAGTTTAGCAAATGTATTTCTCAGTTCTGAGATTTCTGTTTTTTATTTCAATATCTTTGTTAAGTTTCTCTGATAAATTTCTGAATTTTGTGTGTGTGTGTGTGTGTGTGTGACCTTGGAGATCATTGAGTTTCCTTGAAACTACTATTTTGAATTCTTTTTTAAAAAATTATTTTTTAGGGCTGGGCATGGTGGCTTCTCCCTGTAATCCCAGTGTTTTGGGAGGCTTAGGTGGGAGGATTGCTTGAACCCAGGAGTTTGACAGCAGTCTGAGCAACATGGTGAGAACTTGTCTCTACAAAAAATATAAAGTAAATTTCAAAAATTATTTTATTTTTTAAATAGAGACACTATCTCACCATGTTGCCCAGGCTGGTCTCAAACTCCTGGGCTCATGTAGTCCTCCTGTCTTAGCCTCCTTGATGCTTGGGATTACACGCCTGAGTCACTGTGCTGGCCTATTTTGAATTCTTGATCCTCCCACACTGTGCCCAGATGACCTGTAGGTAAAAACCTCCTGCAGTGTTGTGTTGCTGAGTAGCCATTATGATTTGCCATCTCCTTTGAATTACAGAGCAGAGTTTCCAGGGCTGGGGATGGCAGTCCTGCCTCCCACCTTTGTCTCTGCCTGTCCTCAGGATTTCCCCCTTCAGGCACTTGAGATGCTTCCTGTGGGTTAAGGCAGGGACAAATCTCCTGCTAGGGAATCCAAGATGATGAGGATGTTGGTTGTTCATCTCAGTCTAACTTTTTCCAGTGCAAAAATGGTGACTTGCAGGGAAATTTTCCTCACACTTGGTGCCAGGTAGAATGGATGTGGAAGTCCAATTCTCTTACCAACTGCTGGGAGCTTTTTCATTTCTCCATGGCCTCGAGAATTGTCTCATCTTCATGTATGAGTTCTGGGACATTTCTGGTGATAATCTCAGCACTATACATTTGTTTTTGGTTTTCTGTGGAAGTGAGTGAAGTCAGTTTGTTTCTGTGTTGCTACTTTGGAACCAGAAGTAGTCCAAATATATATTCTCGTTTCTGCACTCTTTTTGTTAACCCCATGTTCAGTGGGCTGACTTCCATGTGTACTTCAGGGCCCCAAGTTCTGCCATAGCCCAAGGCTTCAGAGTCTTCACTGATATAAGGCACGCTGGTTTTGGTCTACAACAGTGACAGCATTTAAAATGTCCTGAGATCACTGGCTACAGCAAGACCCCCAGCTCTGTTCAGCAACTCAACAGACTCTAAGCGCCACAAATTTCCCAAGGACTTATTAATATAACTATCCCACTGCTAGAAATTAAAATCTTGATAACACAGACAAAAAACCCTAATCACATAGAAATTATGTCTCTGAAATAATCCTATCCAAATGCCTTCATAGTAATGCATGTCAATTAGAAACTTTCAAGAAGAGATGCCTTTTAAGACATTATATATGCCAAGTTAAATAAAAAATGTTTGGGGAAAAAGGCAATATCCTTAATTCCAAGTTTATGAGAAAAAAAGACAGTAGATCATTGCAAAACTTACCTCTTGTTGTAAGAATTAACGTTTCCTCACTTTAACCAGTACCCTTGGCCTGGGGTCAATTGCTATAGTTCTCCAACCACATCTTCCTTCTGATTCAGTAAGAAACCACATTTTGTTTCTTGCAATTCATTGTTTTTTCCACAAAATAAATTCTCTTTAAATTCAAGTCTGACTTGCTTTTTGCTTAAGATCAAATTGCTAGCTGCCATTTTTCTATTGAGATATAAATAAATTTGAGGTGTGAATGACCACTTCACAGGGTTGATACAGCAAACTATTGTTGGAACCAGGCAGATCTTGGATCAAATACCAACATCATACTGACTGAGTACCTCTGAACAAGTTACTTAATGTTTTAGCCAGTTTCCTCATCTGCAAAATGTATCTAATATCTGCCTTATAAGATTGCAGAAAGGATTAAATACATATATGCATGTTTTTTGTTTTCTGTTTTGTTTTTGTTTTTGTTTTCTGAGACAAGGTCTCACTCTGTCACCTAGGCTGGAGTGCAGTAGTGTGATCTCAGCTCACTGCAGCCTTGACCTCTGGGATTCAAACGATCCTCCCACCACAGCCTCCCAAGTAGCTGGGACTACAGGTGCACGCCATCATGCCCAGATAATTTTTTGTAGAGATCCAGTTTTGCCACGTTGCCCAGGTTGGTCTTGAGCTCCTGAGGTCAGGCAATCTGCCTGCCTCAGTCTCCCAAAGTGCTGGGATTACAAACATGTGCTATGCTACAGCCCCCAGGCTTATATGTAGATTAGGAGGCCTTTTATTTGGTTTAGCTAAATGATATTATTACGACAACTACTGGATTATCTATCTGGAGTGGGTGTTAGGTAATATAAGAAACAATGAAGAGAAGGAACGAAGAAAATGGATAAATTATTATTCTTCCTTGTGCCCAACACTAATGGGCAACAAAATTAACTACAGATGCTCTTCAATTTACATAGGGTTATATCTCAATAAACCCATCATAAGTTGAAAATACCATAAATAAAAATGCATTTAATACACCTAACCTACCAAACATCATAGCTTAGCCTAACCTACCTTAAACATGCTCAGGATGCTTACATTAGCCTACAGTTAGGCAAAATCATCTCAGATAAACCTATTTTATAATAAAGTGTTGACTATTTCATGTAATTTATTAATGCTGTACTGAAAATGAAAAACAGAATGGGTGTATAGGTACTTGAGTATAGTTTCTACATGCATATGACTGTTGCACCATCATAAAGTTGAAAAATGGTTGAGTAAAACCATCTAAGCTGGGAACCATCTGTGGTTTAAATTTCCTTATCTCTCCTTATCCAGCAATGGAAAATGAAGCGACTTTTTAAAATTCCCCTTTTCATTAACTGAGATGCGTCTACAAGTACAATATTCTACCACATGCAACATTCTAAGAAATGTAACGTTTTCCCGTAAACCTGCATTTAAAAGTTTTTAAACACATTTTCTGAAGAATTGCTGAGAAACATTCCATTAAGTACCACAATTGAAAAATTGACAGGTTGATTTCTTTTTTTTTTTTTTTTTTTGAGATGGAGTCTCGCTTTGTCGCCCAGGCTAGAGTACAGTGGAGCGATCTCGGCTTACTGCAAGCTCCGCCTCCTGGGTTCATGCCATTCTCCTGCCTCAGCCTCCTGAGTAGCTGGGACTACAAGCACCAGCACCATGCCTGGCTAATTTTTCGTATTTACTTTTAGTAGAGACAGGGTTTTACCATGTTAGCCAGGATGGTCTTGATCTCCTGACCTCGTGATCCACCCGCCTCAGCCTCCCAAAGTACTGGGATAACAGGCATAAGCCACCGTGCCCGGCCTACAGGTTGATTTTTTTTTTAATCCACTAGAATGGTGGGGGTCTCTACCATTTCTCTGAATAGATTCCTTTGGAAATCTGATTTTTACTATGTCTGCTAAAAGGCAACTATATAAAAAATTGTGGAAGTGATTTCAGGAGACCTACAAAGCCCTTGAAGCCCATCTGTACACTCCAAGTTACAATACCTACTTTTACTGGAAAATCTTTTTTTTTTTTTTTTTTTTTGGAGACAGAGTCTCACTCTGTCACCCAGGCTGGAGTGCAGTGGCGTGATCTGGGCTCATTGCAATATCCGCCTCCTGGGTTCAAGTGGTTCCTCTGCCTCAGCCTCCCAACTAGCTAGGATTACAGGCATGCACCACTATGCCCAGCTAATTTTTGTAATTTTAGTAGAGACAGCATTTCACCATGTTGGCCAGGCTGGTCTCGAACTCCTGACCTCAGGTGATCCACCCACCTTGGCCTCCCAGAGTGCTGGGATTACAGGCATGAGTCACCATGCCCAGCCTGGAAAATCCTTCTGCAATGCAAATATTCACCATTTAAACTTGGGTGAATTAGTAAACCTGGGTTTTTATAAATCTAGATTCCTTAAACTGAGGCAGTCCAGCATGACAAATGAAATGCTTGTTAGATTTATAGTTCCTGCATGTCGGAGCAACTGATTTGGAATAAAAATGTTGCCGCCATTTACTTCCTCTGTTTGATTTGGGAACTTATCCCATTTGGACCCCAGTTTTCTCACCTCCAGAATGAGTAGATTCTCATTCTACCTGCATCTCAAGGCAGTTATAAGATAAGACCTAAAGAGGTAACAGTTCCTTATTCACCGTAAAGCATTACATGTTGAATGGAGTCTGCTGGAATGATCGGTCTTCAGACCTGTCCTCAGCTGCTACAAGCATCCTCTACTGCTGCATGTCTACATCGGGTGAGTGTTTCTCAACCTGAGAGTAAGAAATTAGATCACAAGAAAGCCCAGAATTGTCTAGAACCTCCTGCCAGAGTTCCTAGAACCCTTGGTTGCACTTGACCTGTCCACAGGTGGTCTCTCTCTGGTGGCCTAAGAAAGGCCACTTGATTCATCTCTGTGTTTCCTGTGCCATGCACAAGCTTGATGCTGAATAAACATCTGCTGACTTAATGATAAACAAATGAAAAGTAGATGTGAAAAAGAGCAAACACTTTTAACATGTTAGGCTCCCTCGCTGTAATCTTCTAGTTTTCAGTAACTGGGATTTCAGGACCCCAATTGCTGCCCCAAAGAGCCAGTAGTCAGCAATAACTACAACTCTTTTGTGCAAGCTGCCAGATTGGATCCTCCGAAGGGGATCACACAAGTGTATGAGAACCACTATTTGACTGTCATAATTTGTAAATCTCATGGGTTAAAATGAGAGGAAAAAAACTGACCCTCTGTAAATATCTGACAATGGATAGGGAGAGAGGAACTATGCTCCTTTCAGGTGTTTTTTATGTATTACAAAATGCTGTAACGTCACAATCCTTCATTCCTTTGAAAATGTTGTAGAAAACACTATATATGCCAACTTCACAAATCTGAAGTACATTTTTATTTCTAATATAATTAATATTTTGCCCATCCTGTGGCTATTTCTAACATGGCAGCTTTGAGTGAAACAATATTACACAGATGTCCAAATCATATTTTAAAAACAAGTAATTTTGGATGGGCACAGTGGCTCATGCCTGTAATCCCAGCATTTTGGGAGGCCAAGGCTGGCAGATCACTTGAGGTCAGGAGTTCAAGACCAGCTTGGCCAACATGGTGAAACTCCATCTTTACTAAAAATACAAAAATTAGGCTGGGCGCAGTGGCTCACACCTGTAATCCCAGCAGTTTGGGAAGCCGAGGTGGGCGGATCACCTGAGGTCAGGAGTTTGAGACTAGCCTGGCCAACATGGTGAAACCCTGTCTCTACTAAAAATACAAAAATTAGCCAAGCATGGTGACAGGTGCCTGTTATCCCAGCTACTCGGGAGGCTGAGGCAGGAGAATCACTTGAACCCGGGAGGTGGAGGTTGCAATGAGTCAAGATTGCACCACTGCACTCCAGCCTGGGCAACATACAAGACTCCACCTCAAAACCAAACAAAACCCCAAGTAATTTTTAGCCTATTACTATGAAAGGAAAATATCTTGGGCTCCTTCAAGCTGGGAACTGCTCAAGGCAAATCTACCTCCTATTCTATTCATAGTCATCCCTTTGCTCACAGAGATAGATGCATATTTTGATTGCCTCCTTTGGAAAGACTCTTCAGAAACTCAAAAGAATGTAACCAATTGTCTCTCACCTACCTGTGACCTGGAAGCCCTGGGAGTAATGGTGGGGTGGGGAAGGGGGGTGAGGGGGTGGGAGGGCTTGCTTGCTTTGAGTTGTCCCTGCATTTCTGGATGGAACTAATGTACTTCTTGCATATATTGACTGATGTCTCATGTCTTCCTAAAATGTATAAAACTAAGTTGTTCCCCAACCACCTTGGGCGCACATGTCTTCAGGACTTTCCGAGGCTGTGTCATGGGCACATCCTCAACCCTGGCAAAATAAACTTTCTAAATTAACTGAGACCTGTCTCAGATTTTCTCGGTTCACATTTTGGTAACCATGGGGGTATTCTGAGTGGGGATGCCCTTGACCTTTGACAAATTTCCTACCGGTGCTTGGTACCAGCATGAACTACCTTTATGACAATTTGCTGGGGTCTGAAAGCACTCCCTCCAGAGAATCCCTGATCTCCCAAAATTTGATCAAGATCTAAAGTTTATTTTGCTGTATAACTCCTCTCATTTTTTGGAGTTTTACCTGCTTCCAGCACAAGGAAGACAAGTGATTTTCCTGCTTCCATGATGATGGAAGGCAGTAACTCCTGTGTGGAGTTTGAGATTAGGGTTTTGTTTTTTTTTTTTCTTTCCTGCTTGTAGAAACCACTCTTCAGCCTGAGACCAATCTCTAGGTAAGTAACTGAACTGGGTTTTGTCTTGGTTAAAGTTAAGATTAACAACTAACTGGTCATAATTCCTCCTTACCATTAGAGTGCTCAGTGATCCTATTGCTCTGTGTGTGTGTGTGTGTGTGTGTTTGCTATTTTGTTCCTGTCTGAAGTTTTTGTTTAAGGATCCTAATTCTAGTTCAGAGATGCATTCTAAAGGGACTTCACTATTGCTTTTTCTCTCAAATTTAATCTTAATTCAGTTTGTCTGTATGCACTTGTGTGAGGAACTGAACTGTTTTTCTCAGTTGAGAAGAAAAAAGGCGTTTTGCTCCTCCCAGCCGAAAGGTGCCCCTGGGTGACCGGTGGCCTCCTGGGGGTGTCTGGGGTTAAGTTCCACCCCTCCACAATGACATGCAGCAGCCTTGCAGGGAAATCCCCAACAGAAATTAATTTTTAAAATAGCTCTTCCAGGAAATACATATAAGCACTGATCACCCAGCGTTCTGAGCCCTCTCTGAGGTCATAGACTTCTGGAGCGAGAAAATGAGACACGTAAAAGGGTGGGAACGACTCAATGATGACATACTGTGTAGTCCTGCCCACAAGGAGCACATATCGATTCACCACATAAAAACCCTAGACTACAGCTCAGTTCCCGCTTTTAAGAA